GCTGCTGCAGGGGAAGGCTGCCAGCTGGGACAAATCAATAGGTAATATTTTCTATGGTTGTGCGAGTGGCACTGTCCGAGGTTACTGTATATAATGTACTATTGATTATATCATATCGTATAATCACCTGGAAAGGGATCTCGCGCACCGCCGGGCGGGCTGGGCTGCTGCGGTTTGGGCGGACTCACCTGGTGTGGGCAGACTCACCTCAGACAGACGGGGCGGAGATGGACGAGCTTTGGGTGGGATGGGATTTGGACCCGGGCCGGGCAGGGGATCAAGCAGAGAGATTCGCCGGGAGTGGGACGAGGGGTTTATCCCAGATGTGGTGCCACCCTTGGGTCCTCGCAGGAGTGCTGGGCCCACCATGCTTTGGTGACATGGCCCATCCCTGGAGCCCTTTGCCTTGGGGGTTGCGTCTCTGGTGGTCCCAGCGATGCTAATCTCTGCGCGTTGCTCCCATTTTACGCTCCGCCATGGAGATTGGGCGATTATGAACACTGGAAATCAGCGGAACTGAAACTCATCTCTGAGCCGAGTGCCATTCTCCATGGCCTCCAGCGCGCTGGGCGGGGGCGCAGGGACGTTCCTGGCGGGAGCCGGGGCGCGGGCAGGGTACCCGGGCTCGCCCCGAGGCCTCTTAGCCCTCCGCCCCCAAGGGCACAGATCCCTGAAGCGGGAGCTCCTTTCCTGGCACCGTTGGGCCTGCACTGCATTGCTCGCCTCTCCTGAGGGACCAGCTGGGGCTAACCCCCTCTTCTCTCCGCCTATGCCCCACAGATGTGTCGGAGGGCGCGGTTCCCAACGGAGACTCCCAGAGCAGCGTGGACAGTTTGCGGAAGCACCTTCGTGCTGACACCTTCACCCAGCAGCAGCTGGAAGCTTTAGATCGAGTCTTCGAACGTCCTTCTTACCCGGACGTCTTCCAAACCTCGGAGCACATCAAATCTGAGCAGGTGGGGGCCGGGCCCAGCAGCGGGGGCACAAACGGGCACCGGGACGGGGCACGGCAGGAAGTCTGCATGCCGGAAGTGAGCTCCCCATGCCACACCCAGCCCGGCTGCATGCACGCCTACCTTGGCACTTCTGTGTATGCACCGCTTCACGGACACACGCGGGCGCATGCATGTCCCCTGCACAGACACGCATGTGCAGGGACGCACGCACGCCCTCCTCCTTCAGGCATCAGTGCCTGGGACCAGGCAGCTTCAGACCCTACCAATACCCAGGGAGCTAGGAGCATGATCCAACGCCCACGGGCTTCACGCCTCTCTCCGCCTCAGCTGCCCCTGCCCCACACTCTGCCTTTTATCCCCAAAGCTGTTTGTCTTAATAAAATGAAAATCAAAAGTCTTTTTAAACCGCCCCGAGCCATAAACCAACAAAGGAAGGGAAGGAGAAGCTGGCGGTAGACTCCCTTCATCCCCGAGTCCCTGGCTTTATTACAATGAATAACCTTTATTTACTTTCATTAGACTATTAAACACCGACACAGTCATTTTTCCCCCTGAAACTCTGAGCAGGGCCCATAAAGCAAATCCAAAGCCTAATTGAGTTCATTTTAATTTCTCTCCGATCACAGCGAATTACTCTGGTGATAAATCAGGGGGCAGGCTCACCCCCAGTAGAAGGCCTAATTTGCAGCTAATTACAAAACTGATTTCTACAGGAAGATCAATACGAGAAGGAATTGGAAATGACTAGGCAATCGTGGCCGGACGGGGGCAGGGAGGGGGCAGCTTGCAGGCAGCGTCTGGAGGGGCGGGGGGCAGGTAGGCTGGAGGAGCACATGGAAAAAAACGGAGCCGAAAGAGCAGAAAATCAGTTTTAATTTAACGTAATATTAATCAGAGCAACTTTTCCTGCCGTTTTGTGGCCTCGCTCCTTTCTCTGGCTCCCATACAATGGAAAGGCAATTACCAGAGCCTCTCGGACAGGACCCCCATTCAGAGTCAATGGCTCTCCCCTCCCACCCTTCTGTTAGCCATGTGGCTCGCCCCCTCCCCAATTTCATACCCCGATGCACAGGGTGACAGAGGTGGGGGATGAGGCTGCTTTGTGTTTCAGGAGCCAGGAAAGAGATGGGGGGGATCTCCCAGCAAACAGAGCGGCGATACAAAGGGCCCTGGCTGACACAGACAGGCAGCAGAAATGTCGCCACGTCCCTGGCGTTTGCATTGCAACCTCCTGCCCCAGCCATGGGGGCAAGTGTGCCGGGCAGGCCCCGAGCCTCCACGTCCCTTCGTGCTTCCCTGCCCCCCTCGCCCGCCGAAGCATGGCCCCGCCAGGGAGAACAGGGCTGCAGCAGAGTAACTCCCCTGGCTGGTCCCTCTCCGCCACAGCTACCCAGATGGGGAAGGAGCCACTGCTCACAGCAGAAGCGAGGGTCCCTGCCCCCCCCCCCACCTTTCACCTTCGGGCTGCTCCGTTTCCTCCTCCTCTCCCATCTGTGCAGGGCGTGGCCTCACTCCCCTTCCTTCCCCAGCTGCATCCCGCCCCCCTCGCCCATCAATAGCGAGCTGTCTCTCCTCTCTCCCCCAGGGGAACGAGTACTCCCTGCCAGCTCTGACCCCTGGGCTTGATGAAGTCAAGTCAAGTCTATCTGCCTCTGCTAACCCAGACCTGGGGAGCAACGTGTCAGGACCCCAGACGTACCCCGTGGTGACCGGTAAGCTGCCTGCCGAAACGGCTCCTAAGCCTTTCCGTTATCCCCTCGCCATTCGCTGCTGCCTTTTCTCTTGGGCGAGACACAGCTCTGTGGCTGGCCCCGCCCCAGACAGCGCCCCAGGGAGCCTGGCGGGTAGAAGAGGGAAA